GGACATAAGCATAAGCATTTTATCGGATATCCCTACCTTATTGGGGGATTTATATGGGATATCCCTATCTCAATTTTTGCTTATGTGCTTTTTGGGGTCCCAGGCGCAGAGTGCTGAGGACGTTGAGGGTTTTAGGGGTTCAAAGTTGTTCTATCCGGGCTTTCATATGAATGCACCACAAAGGGATTTTATGAGCCTGAAACCATATTTAAAAAATGAGGCCCTACATTCGAGCCCAACACCGGAGCCCTCGGAAAGCTTAAACCCCTACACCGCGGCAGGTCAGCATCACCCAAGAGATTGGCGAGGCCGCACAAGTGGCATCTTGCCTTAGGTCTCAGACGGGCTCAGGCTTCAGGGTTCGAGTTAAGAGGTTTGGGTTCGGTGTTCAGGGTTTAGCTTTAGGTTTGGGGTTTCAGTATTCTTTAGGGTTCGGGAATTGGGACATAAGTTGATCCCAGACAGCCTTTGCACGCCTAGCTCCTCAGAAGCCTTGCTTGATGCGTGGGCCACGTTTAACGTTTAATGTTGCGGGCTTCGGTGTTAATGTTTTGGGTTTAGGGTTCAGCGATGATATTGTCTGAGTCTCTTGATTGTCAGTTTCGTTCTTCTGACCACTTTGTGCTTGCGCCTGTTGTTGTTGTTGCTGTTGCTGTTGTTGCTGTGATGCTACTTAGTCGAGATTGGCGGAGATGGTAGTGGCAGCGACGGCCAAAGCGTCGATTGCGGTACTGTACTTCATCTTCGATTTGTCCAGCTGCATTCGTCAGAGATGGCTTTCATTGCTTGATGTCATTTGCTCTTCTACCCGCCATAACCAGCCCAAGGCCTTAGCCTCACGAGCAACCCTTATCAACCCGCAGTATCCTAACTGTACCTAACCGTGACCCTGAACTGGAAGCTGTAAGCCAAAAACCCTTAAACTGTAAACCCGAAACTACCCTAAACCCAACCAAAAACCCTGTCACTACCTACACACCCCACAGGCCCTTACAAACCCCAAGTCACCCTAAGCCCCACTTGGAGGTTCATGGGTAGTTATATAAGTCCCCTAATCTAGGTTATAACTATAGTTACCCTACTTATAACCCTACTTATAACCACCCACGCACCCTAAACCCTAAACCCCATAGATTCCTCAAAGGAACCCTACGTAGAACTACCCATGAACCCTAAACCCTAAACCCGCTGGATTCCCTAAAGGAACCCTACGTATAACTACCCATGAACCCTAAACCCTAAACCCTATAGATTCCCTAAAGCAACCCTACACCCTAAACCCTGTAATTAGATTCCTTAAAGGAACCCTAAACCCTAAACCCTGTAGTTAGATCCCTTAAAGGAACCCTAAACCCTAAACCTGTAGTTAGATCCCTTAAAGGAACCCTAAACCCTGCAGATCCCTTAAAGGAACACTACTTATAACTGCCCATGGAACCTCCAAGCAAGGACCCCTCGGAGCTGACTTCGGCGCTCTTCGGCGCCTCGGGAGCCGAGCTCCGGCCTGGCGCCGTGCGAGGAAAGGGGACCCGGCATTGGGGGGAGTTGCGGGTTTCGGGAAGAGGCTTAGGGTTTAGGGTTTGTTTATTTATTTATTTTATTTGGGGGGGGGGGTTTAGGGTTTAGGGTTTAGGTTTTGTTTGTTTTTTTTTGGGGGGGGGGGGTGGGGGGGCTGCAGGGGCGCGAAAGGCTAGCGGCTAGTATCACCAAAGAAAGGAGTGTCGGGGATGATGGGGGATGTTCTGCTCCGGCTTGGAGTTTGGGCTTGCTCCACACGGACTTTGACTCTGATGCTTTGACAGCCGTCCACCAGCAATACAATCGCCCTATGTAAAGCCTAAGCCCTGATCGGCAGTCCTTCGCCAAGAGAGATTCTGCTCAGGCATCGAAGAAGTCAGCGACTGGGGCAACCAGCGCTTGACTGGCACCCTGCATGCAGCAAAAGAGTTCTGAAATCATGCAAGCAGGTACATCTCCTTCCCTTCAAGCCCTGAATTCGATTCGCGTGCTGTTGAGATACTTGGAGCTCTAAGCTCGACTTGCACCTGAGCCTAGCTGTTCACTGCATGCCCTGTAGTTAGGTTTTGAGTTTAATTAGAGTGGTGATCCCAGTCCCTTGGCCCTTGGAATCTTGCCCATGATCAGGAATCCGCATCGACGACGACGTCGTGCGCTGCGACGTGGCGGTCGTCGCCATGGGTCCATGGTCGGTGTTGGCGGAGGCATTCCTGTGAGAGGGAGCCCAACACTCCTAACCTAAGGAGGAAGGAATGTGCTTGAAATTCGACTCTTGAAAGCTTTATGCCCTGATTTAAGACCCTTATAAACCCTAAACCCTAAGGACTTCTGGATTTGGTGAATCGCGAGGCGAACTTGGAAAAGTTTTGCCCGCCAAGTGTTCACAGTTCTGAGGCGGACCTAGTGCTTAACGAGCGTACTGTCGACTTGGAGGCGCCCTTGAACTCTCTATTGCTATGGTTGCTTAATGAATGTTACTATGATAATGATTGTCGTGATTGTTAATGTTACTATGATTATGGATCTTAGTGTTATTATTTTTATTATTCCTATGCCCTGTGAATAAACCGTCATGTGCACCAGGACTGGTTCCAGGGATTTCGCGTGCCGCTCCTCGGAACATTGGGCTCCATGGCATTCTATGTGTCCAGGCTAAAGCAACTTCAAAGGAGGCTCAAGTTTGGTGTGGGGCCCAATATAATGCTACTTTGCTGTTGCTGTTACTATTCTTATTATGCTAAGTTATCATCAACTATCATGATCATACAGATTATTATGATGATTATGGTTATGCTTATTATGAGTATTATGATGATATTGTTTAGTCTTATTTCTACTGTTACTACTAGTAGGTTTAGTGCTCGAACTATTAGTAACAACAAAATAACGGATAATATTCTTAGTAACCTAAACCTACATAACCCGTTCAATGCTGAACCCGAAAGCCTAAACCAAAAATCCAAAACCCCCGACCCAGACCTAAACAATTAGCCCTAAACCCGGCCGAAATACCTATACCCCAAAACCTTGCCAAAAATCACAAAGCCGTCCTAAAGTGCCCAAGCCTGACTTAAAGCCCGGAAACCCCAAAATCCTACGAAACAACTGCCCTAAGCATTGAAACGACCTTGTAGATCAAAACAGACTGGAAGCCGGACCCAAGTACGACCGTTGCACCTGAAAGACCCTTTTCGGACAAAATCACGACAATTAAGGGACTTTACGCTACTGCAAGAAATGTGGACCCCAGCCAGATCACGTAGAAGACCCTGGATTTTTTATACTAGACTAGATGTTAGATAATAGAACTTAGATACTAGATACTACATAACTTGAGATTGGATCCGCGTTACATACATACATACATACATACATACATTTATTTTGACTACTATGCTATATTCTGTTTTGTTATATATATATATATATTATATTGCATAGCATTGTGTTACGTTTTGTTCTTATTGCGGTCATTGCTATTGCGAGCCCAAGATTAAATGAGGCTACATTATGTTATATGATGTTTTATTCGATATTATATTTCTACATACCAGATTATGTTATGTTAAACATATTACATTATATTATTCTATGTGTATCATGTCATATTGAAATGTATTATCATTATATTGTATTATATTTCATTGTGATTCATTGTATTACGTTCTATGACATTGCAATACATTAGATTACATGATATCATATTATACTATAGTGTATTTCGTTGTCTCACATTATCCTATATTGTCTCATCTTCACGTTATCTTTCCTTATCTTATTTTTGCTTATCTGACCTTGTCTTGTCTTATCTTGTCCTATGCCATCTTACTTTATACCTTATGGTACTTTATACTATATTATTTGGTATCTTATCTTCTCTTATATGATCTCATATCGTATTTCTTTATATTATACCCAAAGCAGCTGCCACTAACGATCCTTCTTGGAAAGCTATTCTTGTTTGGGAATCTTAGCTCCCTGGCCTTACTGGCCTGCTCATGTCTACGCGACTATTCGGCGCAGCCGACAGACCACCGAAAATCAAAATTGTTCTGGCCGACGGGTCGGAGATGTTTGACCCGCCGCCGTGATCAGTTTTCATATCCGATGATGAGATACGATGATTTCAGTCAGTACCAGCATTATCCTCACAAGCACGAAGAAATCTGCACAATGTAATGGCTGGCTCTTCGTACAGGCTGCTGTGATCTGGCACAGTCGGTTCAGCTTTGGCCGTAGCCCCTAAACTGTGATCGAAACCCAACAACACCTCAAACCGACAATTCCGAGAGCAAGGATCGACCTGCTGGCAGCATTCACAGCGCCATCGCCATCTCTCAACAAGTGCCCCGGGGCATGCTTCAGCTTCTGGTGTGGTTTGGGGTTTCGGTGTAAAGTCTGGAGTGTTGACATTCCGGCCCGGCTTTGACATACCTTGGAATAGTCGTGGGATTGACGACCAGGGTCGGTCAACGATGAGCGGCTATCTGAGAGCTTACCGAAGGTCGGCAGAAGCGGACGTGCGCTATTGTAACATGCTACCGCACTCTTGGTGGAGTCAGCACCGCCTTGGAGCTTTGGCTCTCATGGCAGGATGACGAAGGCCGCGATGTCATGGTCACTGCTCGAGCTGATGGCAAGGCGAGGGTCCTGAGTTTAGGGGGTGTTGGGCCGGAGAGCAGGTGGAGTGTTTGGCTGCAGGAGGCTGCAGACAGGAACTACAGTGAAAGAGCGCGCGAAGATCCCGAGCAAAAAAGAAGAGAACATTAATACGTTGTGGAGGACGCAGCAACGGCCCTTTTTGATCTCACAAGACATTTTCGTGATCAGGTTGCCACATACGTGCGCATATCGCAGATGTATGTATGTGTATAACGCACATGTACATTTACATATGACAAGATGCCCTTCCATGCGCCGCTATTTATAGTGCTTCAATCTCCGATGGTGCGTCTCATCATGTTCTTAGCTTTTAGTCATTATACACCCCATTTAAGCCATGAGTTGCACAGTGCCCTCAACCACCTTATAAACCCAAGCTCCGCCAAGCCCGAACCGTCCTGGGCATTCGCTCGAGACCGCCGCTGCAGGTCACCTGCCTCGGGGTGCAGGGCGGCCACAAGGCTCCGGCGGGTTTGCAGTCGTTCATAGTTGTAGTGTGCCGTCTGTTGACCGTAAACGGATTCAAGTTCAAGCTTGTTTCTCACTCAGATCCCCAACGCTGCATGGGTTTCATGACTCCCGCGAGGTGCTGACTGGTCAGGACCTTCGACAACTCAACCCGGAGGACGTCATTTTCACTTGGCAGGGGCTGTCGGCACGGCCTGATTGCTTACGCCACATTCTGTGCTTTCAAGGATGTGCTTCCTGTCCAGGAGGATCTTGAGGCGCCCACGTCTGACATGCAACATTCCTGTCAGACACCCACTGGCCCTTGGACAGTAATCTTTCGCAGGCTGGTCGCAATGCCTTCGAGCGATTGTCGTCGCTGACTCGCGGTGAGGTTGCGGGAATGACATGTAGCAGCTTAGTGGTCGAGGGGTGCCTGCGCTTCAGGCCTTAAACCAAACTTTGCCGTGATGTAGAGTGCCAGAGCTAGTGGAGCTAGATTCCCCGGAGGCTCTAGCAGACTCTAGCAGTTAGGTTTCATGGTGACCACATTCACGGGAGACGGCTTGGCTTGTGTTTAGCTTCGTCGGAGGCGCCGGCCTCGATCGGAGCGGGCGTGCGTTCCGTGATGACGAACCGCGCGCCGATGCCACTCATCTGCAGATAATGTGGGGCGGGGGACATCCAGAAGTGTTCGTCGAATCAATGTGATTTACAGAAACTCGCGCAAAAACACGAAGTGAAATTTATGTTCCCGGTGCATAAACTGGAGCCTCACCTCTCAGTCCTTGACATTGAGTACGCCCCAGGATTGGACGGATTCCAGGCTACGGGGGCACGGCCTACGTGGCCTGTGGCCACAATGCTTACGGGCAGCTGGGCTGACAAATTCGGGGCTAGATGTGAAAGGCGTGGTCGGATATAGGAAGTTGACGGTCATGCAATTTCAACAAGTTGCAAAACGGATTGAGATGCATCCAACCGCCCGAGTGTGTCTTGAGGATTCTCTGTGGTCCCATCACAGGCAAGGCACTTGCTGAGGACAGGCGGGCAGAAGCCTTGGTCGGGGAAGTTGCATCAGCAAAGCGCCCTTTGAGATGTGCTTACTAAACAAATTTCCGGCCTCACGCTTATTCAATTTTGGGTTAGTTACACGATGCGAGGCTAGAGATGCGAATGACGTAGACAGACAACAGCACCCAAAGCCACACTACAGCAGACAGCCCATTGAGGCATGCGCGCATGGTGCAGTGATAGCTGCCATTTGGGGGCGTTTTGGAGTGATAGTTGGGAATTCACAGCTTGACCTCCAATGCCTTTTTCCGCACATTTTGCCGAAATTCTTGCAGACGACTGCCTCGATCTCGGTGAATCCTCCTTGGGCCCACACCACTGCCAGACCTCGCCTCGAAGCCCGGAGCCTGAAGTAGTTTCCTTTTATTAGTTATTACAATCATTATTATTATATGTTATCATTATTATTACTATGATGATCATCTTTGTTATTACTATTAATATTTATTACTGTAGGAGATCCTGGATGGGCATTCCACCTGCGTGGACCTGACGCCCTTCGATCCTGCGCGACATCAGCTTTGGTGATTTTCGGAGAGTAAGGGCGTGGGGTTCCCTTTTTCCCAGAAGCTTCCGAACTTTCAGTCTTAGGATCGTCCTTCTTAGGGCTTGTGGCTCTCGTTAGACAAGTTAGATGAAGAGTGAAGGGACTGGAGGCTGAAAGCTCGATGTAGTGTTGTTGCTTGTAAAGATGCCGGCCTCAGCAGATGCCTTCACCTGCTGAGTATCTAACTGGGCTGTGCAGTGTGGGACGGTGTCTCAAAATTTTCAGTCATTTTCCAGCTGCCCGGAGATCGGTTCAAAACTCATCAGCCTGCGGCATTTTCGACGACTGCGCCTTGCAATCTCCCTGAAGAAAGATGCCCCGAGATGCACGCGATTACCCTAAGTCCCATGAGCCACGGACCTGGCAAGTACCGAAGGTCGTACAGAAGAGTCGCAGGTACCCCCACCGGAAACAGAAGCATAATAGATATGTGTTTGTCTTTGTACTTGAGCCATCACGATGGTAGTATTTCGATTCGTCGTGATTCCGAACTACCACGTTTATCATGGTCATTGCTAGTGTTACTCTTGCTGCTAGTATTCTTATGATGATGGCTGCTACTGTCAGTGCGTTCTGATTCGGTTATAGCAGGTTACCGCGTCCCTAAAGCGGCCCAAGCAAAACCCTGACTCCATGACCCGACATCTTTCGTAGGAGTAACCAGGTCGCGACCAGGAGACTCCTCAGAACTTGGAGTTCTTTACGTCAACCAGGGCGGATGGGAAGGGGCTGTCAAAACAACGACCCGACAACCCCAATCTCAACAGGTTTGGACCTCTCTGTGTCTAGCTCCCTTTCGCATGCCGGCTTTGGGGTCAGAAGTCGGACAGCACCGTTGGAAGGCCTCAAAGGAGCAAGCTTGTAAAAACTATCACAGGCTGCAGGCATGTGGTGGCCACTTGTGCTCGGGTGCCGCAGACTCAAACCCTGAACCCTAAGCCCCTAAGCCCCTAAATCCTAAACCCCTAAACCCCTAAACCCTAAACCCCTAAACCCTAAACCGGCACGATGGCGGCTGCTGGCCAGTGTTTGGAGAGCCTGCAGCAGAGCCTGCAGCCCCTGTGGACCGTCTGTGGAGGCTCCAACCCCGAGGGCATTCTGGCGACTGGGCTCTTGTTCGTTAAGGAGTTAAGCTTCCATGGCAAGGAAATCAACCATCTTGTTTTAAGAATATATGTATATATATGTACAAACACACACACAGAGTCATTACGGTAAGTTGAATTTGAGTTTACGTTTCCTGACAGCCCCATTGAAACCCCCATTATGTCCCCGGGTTCGGCGTGTTACACCCAAGTTCCTCGAGAAGTGGCGCAGGTGAGGATCGGCACTAAACCCTACCTATAGTCTCCATTGTAGTTCCTTTTTGGGGTTACCTTTTAGGAGCCTTAACATAAAATGGGTTAAATCAAAAAAAGGAACTACAATGGAGACTATAAGAGCACCAGCTAAGGGTGGGGCATTCAAGCCTGTAACCCGAAAACCCTATACACCCCAAACCCGAAAACCCTACATCCTCTAGACCCCTAAAGCCCTAAACCCCAAAACCCTACAACCCTAAACCCTGCCAAACCCTAAACCCTAAGCCCAACCCCTAAACCCCTCAACCCTAAACCCCTAAACCCTAAGCAAGAGCTTCAGGTGAGAGTCGGTCCCGAGCTCCAGTCTCAAGCGCTCAAGGAGCGTTTGGGCGTGGGGGCCAAGGTGCGAGTTTCGGGTGCTTTAGGACTTTTAGGGTTTAGGGTTCAGGGTTTGGGGGTTTTAGGGCTTTTAGGGTTTAGGGCCTTTAGGGTTTAGGGTTTGGGGGTTTTAGGGCTTTTAGGGTTTAGGGCTTAAGGTTTAGGGTTTGGGGTTAAGTAAGGGTTTAGGGTTCATAGGGCTTTGTCGGCACCGAAGGTCAGTGCCACGGACACTGAAAAATACACACGTGAACAGGTTAATTAATGAAGAGGTCCCTGAAATCCGCAAGTTTAAGCAGACAGATAAGCTGTAATCAGTAAGTAGACAGAGAAAGAGGGATAGATAGTCAGATAGTAGTTCTGTCTGTAGGTAGGTAGGTAGGTAGGTCGGTCGGTCAGTCGGTCGGTTGGTAGGGAGGCAGGGAGGTATCAGGGCCCCTAAACCGGGACCTTTACTTGTCTGAGTACCACGCAGGTGAGACAGCTTCAGCTACTGAAGGGGCGGCTCGAATATCGGCTGGAAGAAGGACCTAATAGCTTGTAGGTAAACCTTTAACCTTTTGGGGTTTATAAAATCCTACCATACCCGAAACCCTAAACCCTAAACCCTACACCCTACCATAATTGAAAAGGTTAACCTTCTTTGGGGCTAGTCAACCCCTTCAGAGGACAAGGCCCCAGCTCTGGCTGGGTTTCTGTGGCCCTCGCCGGGAAGGAGCTCGTGGTCCGAGCCGAGGAGGCGCCGGAAGAGTCTGGCGACTGGGATCTTGTTAAGCAACCTTAAGACTAAACGGCTTAGGGTTTGGGGTTTAGGGTTTAGGGTTTGGGGTTTAGGGTTTAGGGTTTGGGGTAACCTAAGTTGCTGCAAGAAGCAGAGCACTTGAACTAGCTAAGCTCTTTAACCAAAGACCCCCTGAGGAGATGAGGAATGGGAGGTTGTCGGAGGCACCAACCCCGATGGCATTATTGTGAGGACCGGCCGAGAGCTGGGCTCAGCCCCACTGGCTCTGCGTCTGGGAATCGGCTCCAGGCTCCCGTTACCATAAACATGGCCACCATCATAAATAGGAGCTCAATAAGAATAGTAGTGACTTAGTGAGTATGACTATACCCAACGCTGGTGATGATTTCGGTGGTAGGGATTTGTAGTGGTAGAGAGAGCAGTTTGCTTGTTATGAAACTTGCTACTGTTATTGCGCTGTCATTCTGACAATTGGCTCCAGGCTTCGTCAACTCGAGCTTTGCGAGGGCCGCCTCTGCTTCGAGCTTCTCTCGGGCGAGGGGCCTCGGCGTGGATGGGTCAGCCTGCGTGCCGCAGGCCGCGAACTGGTGCGTAGGAGAAGGGAGCCGGAGGAAGGGGCAACAGAACCTTTGCTCAACACTGATTACATGGGAACTCTGCGTGGGGCTTGTCGTGGCTGCCAGCGCTGCAACCTCTGGAGGTTCACCTCCCTTTCGTCGATCGAGTGGGGTGGCCCAGACACAACCACGACGATAGACGACCGCAGGCACGCCTACGACAGGAAGATGCGGGGCTACCAGGAGAAGCGTCGTGGCTTCAGTGCTCGGTGCCAGAATTGCCGTTGTCCTGCTGAGGAGCACCTAGACTTGTCGGGCTGGCTGTGTGCGGTGCAGAAGGCTGCACGGCCATTTCGCGAGACCTACGAGGAGGCGATTCGAAAGGATCCTGCATATCGGCACCTCGGCCGAGCCGTTGGCAGTGCCAAAACTCGGACACTGCCCAGACATGCTACAATTCCCGCAGCCGCATTGGAATGGCCCGTTTTCGACGCAGCTATCTACCTTCTGTCCCTGGGTTTTTTCGACCCGCGTCTGCACGGACGGACTGGCCAAGGAGACCAGGGTCTGCGAGACGCACCAGGCAAGCACCTGGTGTCTGTGGTTTGCCCGACCAGCGAGAAGCGACATAACTTTCATCCACTTCTTTACGAGAACTTCCGTACACAGAGCTATGAGCCGAAAGAGCTCATTGTGGTTGACACCGGGTCTCGACCCTCGCCCTTTCTCCTTGACAAGGTCCAGTCTGACTCAAGGGTTATTTATCGACACTTCACCGTAGACGACTCTCGCGACACAGACCCCATGTCGGCCGTCTTAGTGAACGATGGCCTCTCGCTTGTAACGGCCGAAGACGTGAAACGCAGGCGCGGCATCTGCTTCAAGCCCAAGACGGGCTGGTCCCTGGGATTTAAGCGTAATCTTTGTGGCCACTTGGCCCGAGGTGTCGTCATCGCACACTTCGACGATGACGACTTGTATGCTCCAGATTATCTCTCGCGCATGGTTGAAGCCTTGTTCAGCGCATTTGGAGGCCAGCTGGTTGTAGCTCCGGCATTAAAGGCTGCAGCCACGCTTTCGGAGTGGCACATGATGGAGGTCAAGGAGCAACAGTTTGGCTTCTTCGACCCGAAGACCGACCCCTTAGTGGAGGCTCCCATGCGGGAGTCTTTTCAGTACGGCTATGGGTTCTCCTTGGTCTACACCAAGAGCGCCTGGGAAACTGTACCCTTCCCGGACGTGGAGTGGTCAGAGGATGGCGAGTTTATGGGCCGCCTGCAGCTGCAGAAGATTCCGATTCAGCTGGTGTGCTCGCGAGACTGCCATGACGGTCTGGCAGCACATACACACCATTCCGACTCGACCAGTGGCGGCGAGATGTGCGGGAATGTTCGCCTCGGCTACGCCGTGCCAGTCCCAGATGCCTTCCGGGCCCTGCTCCCCGTGGCCCGCAAAGTGGCTCTCGACACCAACGTCCGTCGTGGCTCCCAGCACCCTCTGCGCGCCGAGATGCATCGAGTCTTGGACGGCTTCGGCCAGGCACCGAGTGAAGTGCGTTGGCATGAGAAGGAACTGTTCCTGAAGCGCAACCCCGACTTCGGACAACGCCCGCCTGCGACGCCGCAGTACAAGGAGTGGAGTGGCCAAGTTCGAGGTGGCTTCGGATTCGGGCTAAGCTACCGCGGACCTTGGCTGAGAGTCTCTTAACACTGTGCTTCGAAAAGAGAGCTGACATTCACCCTTTACCCTTCAACTCCTAGGTCCCAGGTAGTATTAGGGAGACCCCTTGAAGGGACCCTTCCTTGACCTTACATCTGGCTCCTTTACAAGGGACCTCTTAGTTAGAGGGTCTATATCCCCCAAAATTTCCCCCTCAAAACCCTCAACCCTAAAACCCAAAAGCCCTGCAACCCTAAGACCCCTAAACCCTAAAACCCTGAAGCCCTAAACCCTAAGACCCTAAGCCCCTAAAACCCCAACCAAACCCACAAACCCCGAGGCCCATGGATCCTCAGGGGCTTAGGCCCTGGGGGGACCCCGAAGCCCCAACCTCGAACCCTTATCATATAGAATAGGGTTTAGGGTATTGGGTTTAGGGTTTAGGGCGTTTAGGGGGTTCAGGGT